TTTACTGTACAAGATGTCACCTGGCAGTGCAAGGGATGTGGGCAGTTGGGCAGGGTTTCTAACAGGCAAAGGGTCATGACTGAGATCCAAATTCTTGAGAGAGGAGCTCTAAGCCAAAGTATCTGGGTACAAGTGGGTACAAGACTTGGCAGCCGCATCAACAAATAAACAAAACTAATCAGACCGATTCAGAAAATAAATCCCTCGACCAATCACATTCTTCCTCTGCATTAGAACATTCATTTTCATCAACACGTTCAGATAACTCAGAGTCAGACTTTGATTCTGGTTCGAATAATGTCTTATGGTGATCAGCAGGTGTAGGTGGTACAATCAGTGTACTGTCTGTATTGTTAGTTCCAAAACTGCTTGACCTGCATCTATAGAATTTTGAGTTTAGCCATAAACCATATCGGAGTTTGTTTGTTTTTTTGCATCTGCTAGAAGGAGTTACACCATTTAAAATACTTTCTTTTGTGCATTTTCTTAAATATCTGGCCCTTAAATTTGACTGATCACAGTTTCCTTTTTCAGCAGGTGTTGACTGTGATGCAGGAATGAAATCAAAACTTGTCCCAAGTTGAAAACTCTCTCTTTGATTGTGTTTATCCTGTTCTACTTTCTGGTTGTTTGGTGTTAAAAGTAAATCTGCTTTTTTAGACAATACATCTTGTGAAGATGTATCCACTAGTTGTATATGTATGAGTCTTTTAGATGTAGGCAATGGCACACAAACATCTTGAAATGGAGAATTGTCAAAGGACACTGAACTCATATCCATACTTGGAGAGTTGCTGAAGAGATCTGCTGAACAATTGTAAACACCACTTTCAGACTGCTCATCTTCTGTGCCTTCACTGGTCTCTATAGTTGATGCAATTATTCTCTCATTATGCTTATTACAAACGACTTTAGCTTGGCTTCTGTCCACACATTTAACATGGTCAACTAATTCCAAGGACAGTTTATCTTGTGGCTGATTTTCTTTGTCCTTCAAAAACTCAGTAAGACTCTCAGAGAGTGGGTATTCCCCTTGACATGCAGTCATAATAGACTTGGTAATGTCTTGAGGGGAGTAGTCCATCACAGGGAGGGTCAGTCCAGTGGTTTTGTGAGCAGTTGGAGAAAAGTCCAGCCAGGCTTTAAGTGGAGTGCTGCTTTGCACATCCTTTTCCACAAAGGAAAGACTGTTATTTTCATCCTGGCTTCTTTCTTCTTGCTCTGCTGATGAAGTAATTAGTCCAAGCGTCTGCTGCCAGGGTGGAGTTGGGCTGAGAAGACTGTCCAGGCGTTGTGGTCTGTAATTAACAGAACACAGTAATTATTACCATGTTATTTAACAGAGCAAAACAGAATATAATTTTTTTTTGTTTGTTTGTTTTTTTTGCTATGGATCGTACCTGGATGACTGAGGGATTACATGTTATGTTATTGAAACATATTTACACGCAATTTAAATATATGCCAATAAACATGATGACGTCCAAAAAATGTATACATATGTTTTAAATGTTTTAAAATTGTTAATGACATACCTTGAAAGAGACAAAGGGAGAAAATCAGAAGAACATAGTGTTTCATTTGTGAATTCACTTGTCTGTGAATTGTGTGGAACTGGCCACAGTGGTTCTCTTTGGAGTTTTGGATTTTTAAAGGTATCTGTTGTGCTTAGCTTGGCCTCCGCAGCTTTTTGAAGAATTGCCTCAAAATAAGTTAGAACAGTGCAGCCCCTTAGGCCTGCAGCTTCAGGAAGGATCATCTGTGTGGCAATAAGCTGAGCCATATTATTACTGCTAGTAGAACGCCCCACCCAAGGCTCATTATCACTTTCGGTTAGCTAGAAGACAACAAAGAATTCAATGAGTATTTATGGCTTAGGCAAAGATCCTCACTTAGCTCCTGCTGTCTAGGGAACTCAAGCAGTAAAGTGTATTTGCACCTTTATACCAAAGATGAAATGTTTGCCAATGAAACATTCCTCCACAGCTTTCACCAACAATGTCGATTTAGATAACGTTTCTAAAGGTCCAGTTTTATCTTCCACCACCCTGTAAACATGAAAGAGCAATATTAATTATACCTGCTGGGATCGTTTTTTAAACCATTGTTAAATTTTATAACAATCCACAGCCCCCTGACCTTTGTAAGCCACTTGCATGTATACCAAAGAACTGATTCAAGCGGTTTCCAAAAACTGTAACTCCAAACAAGCTGCTCCCATGGGCCACCCGCACGGAGAGACGGTATCTGTAGTCCAGTAGGCTCCGGGCACAGCTGTACCCACACTTGGAGCAGTAAAGTCTTTTAGAAACACAAAAAGAGTTACAAAATCAAGATATCACAGTCCCCTCGCCGCGCTTTACTTTACACCCGCATGTGTGCTATTCAGAAACGTAACTAAAACTTACCTTGTGTCAGCTGAATTAATGTCTATTCTTGAAAAGCAGCCTTTGCAGTACGGGTACAACACGCAGGAGTCTTGTAGAGACAGCACAGCGCACTCCACTAAAGCTCTTCTCAAAGGCATTTAAAAAGCATCCGCCAACACGATATAGCATATACCATTATCAGTACAATGAACAGTGCTCAATATAGTCCATTTCTATGAGCAATCAATAACACAGTTAATTGTTCACGAGGTTTTTTTTGTTTATATGTGAAAAACGAACAAGTCGGAACACGGCCTCTGATTGGACGAAACATCTTCTTCTTTTACAAATGTTAATACCTTAAATATTCTACTACTGCCACTGCTGGTGATAGTTGGTGGCTACGTCTAACAGTCTTGTAATACTTAGTGATTTACAATAAATCATGACAAAATGCAAAATGTACGTGTGTCACTAATTTGTAGATATCAGTGATGGCAAAGAAGTTGATAGTGGGCCTACTGTTGCAGTGGATTTTCTGTATTCACCTTTTATTGGATTAAAGGTCAGACAAAAATTATGTATTTTAACATTCAAATGTCTACTTTTTCCAGATTTTCACCATAAAGGGGCTCTGGTCAGCATTCCCTTCCAGGTGTGAGAATCAGCTATCTAAAAAAGAAAATAAAAACATGTATGATTCAACACTCATTCATTCACATAATTATATACTGTAAAAGCAAACAAACAAAATGTCATAGTGTTAAACATGATTACTAACCTGCATTCTTCTGTGAAGGAAATTCAACTTTTGGGTGAGGCATTCTATCTCCTAAATATGATAAATATAATTTTAAAACAGTTAAACATTTAAATGTTCAACATCTGAGTAAAGGACGTGTAAATACCTGGGTCAATTTTTCATTGTGTCTCTGTTTAATCTGAGGTAGCAACTCCTCCAATCTTTGAATCTGCAATAAAATATATTAGTCTGTTTTATTTTAAATCTAGTCTTGTTTAGTCTATTCTTGTTCAGTGGGTCTTCTTTACCCTTCTATCAATGATATGTAGCCTGGTTTTCATGCTCTTGTTGATCACATTCATGGGAATGGTCCGGGTCTTTACAGCCACTGCCAGCATAAAGAGTATTCTAGTTGTTCAAATGTCAACTCATTTAAGATGTTATCACAAACCAGGCCTACCATGCTGAAAGACGTTAGTCACCTCAAGTACATATGGCCTACAATGGACCATAAAACACATTTAGTACAATTCACTAGGCCTAATTTGAATGAGATAATATGACTTACTTATGTTTGCTGTTAACAGGAACTGAGCCATTTAAAGGAATCAAAAAGCCACGATGATTTCTGATCTTTAATATAAGGTTTGGTGAATTCAGTCGAAATGTACTTGTGAAAATCTGAAAAACACAAGTTTTCTCAAAAAAGTTACTCCAAATCTTGTGCAAGGAAATAATGAATGATGCCATAAAATTTTGCACTATTAACCATATAACATGAAAGATCAAGTGTAGTTTTTTCTGGATGTAAAACAAAACAAAAAAGAAAAAACAACAAACACACAGAGATGTGGAAATATATAAATATTACAAATCAGTGCTTACAGCCTAGTGCTTTTTAGATGGTAAAGTAGCCTATTACACTAATGTCTTCTCGTACGCTACAGTTTTCAGATGATAAGCTACCACTGAAGTCACAGCTGCCCTGGGGCGATCTAAACTGATAACTTCTTTGACACACAAGATGGTTGGTTAAAGGCCTGTTATGCAACAAACAAATATACTATAAGGCATGAGCATGCTTTCTATTAGGAATAATGAACATCAGTGCACTGCTGTGGTAATTAAAATAGGCTACAACAGAACTTACATGAATAACTGCTGTTAAATCAGCTCCTGGTGGAATCAGCACTTCACGAAGTGCAATGACTCTGTCATCTGCAAAAAGAAACATTTGAACTGTTGTGAGTTTATTCTCTTACATTTGACACATTTAATGATGAGCAATCAAACGTCACTCATCATCATACGCACGCACAGGTCTACGTGGACCCATCCGCTCGTAGGCCTTTTGTCAGATGCACCTGTTCTTAATAAGTGCAGTGCACACATGAAATTCGTTGTTTGGATGCAACTACAATCCTATCTTAGCCACCTTTTAATAAGGTGGGAACAAAATGGCAAAAAACTGTTAAGTTACAACCTCACAACGCTTTAAAGGACCTGTTGCTATGGACACAGACGCACAATTTACGGAATAAAGGCTTACAATAAACAAGTAAGATGTAAATGTGTTTCCTAAAAAACAACAATAAATTTACAAACCATTTTTATCTAGGCGCTTCAAAGCAATCCAGACTTTGGATGCTGGTGGTGCAGTGTCAAAGGTTTCCCTGGACATTTTGGTTACCCGTGCCGCGTCTGCAGCAGTGCCAGAAAAGAGACGCTCATCAGGCTCTGTACCTTCAGCCCAGTGCGTCAGTGAACAATAGCGCCGTCTCCTGGCGAAGAGGAGAGCCTGCATTTGATAAAACGAGTGGGACGTCCTTCCACGGAAAGACTTGCGCAATATGTTTCCCAATAAACCGTTTCAGGAAGAGATCTTTTCTCATGAACGGGCGGAAATAGACTAGACCTACTGGAAATGAAGCCACTCTTTTAGGATTAACATTAAGGTAACAACTGATCTGTTTTCTTGTGCTATTAGGCTATCACACGTGGTATTTTAATTTAGAATACAGCATAGGTTATTTTAAAGTTTCTGTTTTTTATTTTAGCAATTTGGCGATATGGTTTATTTGATCTTTCTCATTGTGGGGATCATCCTGTGTGAAACATCTGGTAAGTTTTGTTTCCTGCATTGTTCTTATTTAGCCTATTAGATGTAAATGGTATACATTTTTTAAATCCAGGTTTCAATCTTAATTGTACAAACGACTATGAAACATTGATGTCTTGTCACATCGATGCGCGTAATTGCGCAGAACTCAGAATGACCCTCAACGACACAAAAAAGTAAGTGCAACTTATTTATTTATTATTTTAGCTACCAAAGTGTTTCTTCCTTTTATGGCTACGTATGATTACACAAAAGGCCTGTATGTCTACAACTGTAAGTAGCCTAACTGATTCTAACCAGCGCACTGTGTCTAGGCCCAGGAAGACGTGCTCTTTTCACCCGTGTGTTGGAGGATGCTGCTGCAAAATGGAAATGACAGACAATGAACTCAGTATTGGCAATGCATTTACTGCAGAGGTTTATGAAAATAGACAAGGAGTACACAAGCAAACAATTAAAATATATGAAACCAGTGAGTATTTATTTTTTAGCTTATGATCAATAACTAACAATAACAAAAACAGACTTGGACCTAATACTGTCGTTTAAAAGTCTGTAATCTTTGTACCCAAAACTTATGTTTTTAAACAGTAAAACCCAAAACTCCAACCATTATTTCTGTGGACAAATTAAATGGACTGTACAGAATACAGTGGAAAACAAATGCAAAAATGTTAATGCGTGAGGAACTTTCCGCCATTGTGACATACCAGAAAAAAGGAGATAATACTAAGGTAAGATTTATTTGGTGACTTGATATTTATCCTGGACTGTAATGTAATATGTGTTTGTTGTCTTTTTAATTAGAATATCATTAGGGTAAAGCCAAGTCAAATTAAAGACATGAACAATTGTGAAATACTTGGTCGTGATTTGGAGCCAAATACAACATATGTGGTCAATGTGATTACCTACACAAACTCTAATGTGTTTAGTGACAGCAGTCAAGAGGTGGAATTCACAACAGGTACAACACAATTTATTTATTTAGTCTGTAAAAATTTATTTGACATTGATGTATTATTATTATTATTATTATTATTATTAGTGAATTATTGGTTCCTTAATATTGTGGGTGGATGTCTGTGAACCTTTATAACATGTTAGTTATGAGTAAAATTGTATCTCTACAGATTCGTCCCAAAATGGTCTGTTCATTGCAGCGATCATAAGCCTATGTGTTATTGCAATTGCTGTCAGTGGAGTGTCTTTTGTTTCTTTTATCAAGTAAGTCACGTACAGTGCTTATCAAATTACAGGGATTGTTTTTAGACTTTCAAAATCCTTGGTATGATATTATAACGGTATGCATCTCACGGTATGATATTTATTGCGATATTTTGGAGAGGCAAATATAATTTTAGATAGGACACTTTTTGGCTTTAAAATACCTTGACAAGATTTTGCTGTGAATTATTACTGTCAGAATCTCAAGAATTCAAGTAAAAAACATATTTCTTCACATTTTCTGTGCTGAAATAAATCATGGGACATGTAGTTCCTTATGTTTATTAGCCTCTTCCTACTAAAGAACAATGCATTTAAGCAAAGGAACTTATAATTTGATATATTGTTACAGCTCTCAATATTATTGTGAGACTTCTGACGATACAATATCATGATATTTCGGTCATTGTTACATTCCTATTATCTATGTATAATCATGTATAATTTTTGTGGGTAAATGTGAAATGCTAATGTGTTTTTCACTCACAGGTTAAAAGGAAAGCTATGGGACAAAGCTGCGAGAGTTGAAAAGCCAAACCTTCTGAATATTAAACATAAGAAGGAAGTGGTAAGCATATTGCTTTTGAAACATTTGTCTAATGATTGTTTTTTTTATAGCAGTTTTGTGCTTTCTCAATTCTTCAAGCAGATTCTGACACCGGAGTTGCTGTCTGTGTACTCTTTAAGTGTTGAACCACTTATTTCAAAAGACAGTCTGATGTTGTAAGTATATTGTATTATTATATATATTAATATTTCTTCTGATGGTTACATATCTTCTTCCTTTCTTAACTTTTCTGGTGGAGATTAGTAGTTATAGTAGTAGTAGTAGTATAGTGAACCAATTAATTACTGTATAAAATATGATTTAATTTGGGATCATTCCACAGGTCTAAGGAGTCCCTGTCAGACAGCAGTGGCAGGTCAGGGCAGAGTAGTGGCATGAGTTCAGCCTCGTCTTCTTTGGGCTATGCCAACACACAACCATTCGACAGTGAAGCAGGTGTCTTGGAAGCCCTACAAAATGCCTTCCCATTGTCTATTCCAAGTACAGACACACTGGGACATGGAGAACCCAGACAAAACTGGGTAATTCGTCCAGATGAGTCTCTAGTGACCTTTGAAAATGAAAGTTACATCAGTACCCTATCTCCACAAACTACAGATGATGTTGATAGGCAGGAGATGGGTGACTCAGGGTACCATTCAAGTGACGCACCACCGCTACAAGACTTTATTATTCCTACTCATGTTTCCACTACTGACATAGACATGTCGTATCACCCATGTACTTTATCAGAAGATGCCTCTAATGATCTGTCACCTCAGAAATCCCTCCCAGTAGTCTATGGTTGCCATGGCTTGGAGAAAGTACAACAGTCCAATAATGCGCTATCAGAACACAATAATGACTGTCAAGTATTGCTATCTGGATTGACAAATATTTCAAAAACTTCAGAGGTGGGCCACTTTCAGATAGAAATCCCTCATGTGTCTAATGAGATGATTGTAGACTCTGGTTATCATTGCGTTTAATGTATTTTGCTGTTCATTTCACACACATTTACCTCCAGCCATCCATTTCAGCATCAGTTTTATATAGCGCTTTTCTGGACACTCAAAGACATTTTACAGATCATTATTCACTCACTCCATATTTGAAGGTGGTAAACTACGACTTCTGTAGCCACAGCTGCCTTGGGGCAGACTGACGGAAGTGAGGATGCCAATCTGCGCATTTGGCCCCTCTGACCACCACCATCACTCACGCACACACCACTTTCATAGTAGGCAGTGTGGGTGAAGTGTCTTGCCTAAGGACACAACAATACTCTAAATACATTTATTTGTATTTTAACCCTCCTACACCCCTAGGTAATTTCTGTGCTTTTTTTCGAGATCACATTAATTTAATCACAATAGTTACACCCGTGGTCCTAAGGTGTAGTTTTGTCCCATTGACTTCCATTCAAAATGGCTTTTTTCACTGGCATATCTTTGCCAGTGTATTTTTACTTTTTGATTTATTTTTCATTCTTTGGTGTTGAAAACCCTTCAAAATGTTTAATTTCAGTGTCTTTTTGAATTTTTTGATATTTTTCTTTTTACTGTGTATCTTCCATTTCAAGGCTATATCAATATAAAGACATTTCAGGGTCACAGTGATCCGAAGAAAAAATGTTTTTCCTTCCTGCTCTCTTGGGGCCAGGCGAGAAAATAAATGTTTGGGTCTGATTGACCCACCCCAAGACAGCGGGAGGGTCAATGTGACCCCGAGGAGAGCGTGAGGGTAAATAAGTCCACACGCCTCTAATGATCTGTCACCTCAGAAATCCCTCCCAGTAGTCTATGGTTGCCATGGCTTGGAGAAAGTACAACAGTCCAATAATGCGCTATCAGAACACAATAATGACTGTCAAGTATTGCTATCTGGATTGACAAATATTTCAAAAACTTCAGAGGTGGGCCACTTTCAGATAGAAATCCCTCATGTGTCTAATGAGATGATTGTAGACTCTGGTTATCATTGCGTTTAATGTATTTTGCTGTTCATTTCACACACATTTACCTCCAGCCATCCATTTCAGCATCAGTTTTATATAGCGCTTTTCTGGACACTCAAAGACATTTTACAGATCATTATTCACTCACTTCATATTTGAAGGTGGTAAACTACAACTTCTGTAGCCACAGCTGCCTTGGGGCAGACTGACGGAAGTGAGGATGCCAATCTGCGCATTTGGCCCCTCTGACCACCACCATCACTCACGCACACACCACTTTCATAGTAGGCAGTGTGGGTGAAGTGTCTTGCCTAAGGACACAACAATACTCTAAATACATTTATTTGTATTTTAACCCTCCTACACCCCTAGGTAATTTCTGTGCTTTTTTTCGAGATCACATTAATTTAATCACAATAGTTACACCCGTGGTCCTAAGGTGTAGTTTTGTCCCATTGACTTCCATTCAAAATGGCTTTTTTCACTGGCATATCTTTGCCAGTGTATTTTTACTTTTTGATTTATTTTTCATTCTTTGGTGTTGAAAACCCTTCAAAATGTTTAATTTCAGTGTCTTTTTGAATTTTTTGATATTTTTCTTTTTACTGTGTATCTTCCATTTCAAGGCTATATCAATATAAAGACATTTCAGGGTCACAGTGATCCGAAGAAAAAATGTTTTTCCTTCCTGCTCTCTTGGGGCCAGGCGAGAAAATAAATGTTTGGGTCTGATTGACCCACCCCAAGACAGCGGGAGGGTCAATGTGACCCCGAGGAGAGCGTGAGGGTAAATAAGTCCACACTGAAGGCCAGAGACGTAGATATTTGAGGTTAAAATGATATGGATGAATTCTCGAGGAGTCCCAGAGTGCACCGAATGTGTTTGTTAGTGTGAGTTTGTGTGTGCCTGTGTGCGTGTACATTTTCAGGTTTCTGTCATTGTTTAGACCTCTACTGATAAACACTGAAAATATATTTTTTAAAAGCAGAGTAATTGCAATTTTATTTCACTCTATACTTGTTTTTCTCCTGTCAATATGTTGAAATGTGTTCAAAGTTATACATTTGACTGTTTTTTGTCCCATGCATGTGAATATACACACACACATCCACTTTTATAGGGGTACACAAGGGTTAAATTGTTACAGTTTTTGCCATGCATTTTCTAAAGCACATCCTCTGTATTTTGTATAGCTGTGTTTCTGTGTTTTTCTATAAAGTCTGTTTTTTTTACAATGTTGCACATTATTTGGCTTACAAAAAACCTCAAAAGCATTCTTGTCATGACAACTATGTATTTAGGAAAGATAGCTTCCTTGTTGCTTTCTCTAGAAATGCAACTGCCAAACCTTTAACAAAGAAACTTGGCTCAAATCCAGAAAATGTAATTTATGCTGATACATTTGTAAATAAAATGTTTCTGAGATCCTTTCTTTGTTTTCCATTTGAAGACAGGAGATAGTTAAAACCTTAGGCCTACTGTTTTTCCAATGATGATTGCAGATAATAGTCACTAAACAGATTTAAAATTATCGTTGTGTAGCAGTGAAAGTGAAAGAAAGATTTTTTTATGTGGGTGTAGTGGGTGAGAGAGAAAAAGATGACAGAACAAGATAGATTACTACATATTTTTAATAGAGCATTTCCTGTAATGTGAGATGCCATTAAAACACACACTCAATCATTGGCAGAGGAGATGGAGTGTCAGAAGTGTAATATCGCTGATTGGATGAATGCTGGAGAGGACATATCTTGGGAACTTACTCAAACTTTTTGGCAAAGTACCTGTTGGCGTTTGTGAAGAGAGTTTGTGTACAGTATGCAGCATCAGGGTCGACTGAGACTGAGAGCGTGGCTGGAAGAGCAAATTCATTCAGGGAAATATCCAGGGGTCAGATGGCTCGACCGGGTAAAATATTATCTTTTATGTTGAGAGTCTTTTCAGCAAACTCTTATTAACACTAATAATGTTTATGTTTGTGTATAGTCAGCACAGATTTTTCAGATTCCTTGGAAGCATGCAGCTCGTCATGGCTGGAGTATTGACCGGGATGCCACTCTCTTCAGGAGCTGGGCAATGCACACTGGTATGAGCAGTGAAAATGTGTACATGTCTGATTGGTAATGCTATCTACCAATACTTAGGCCAAAGATTTTTATTCTATTCTTTAAGGTGGCTTTCATTTATATGTATTTATGTACATAACAAGATTGTGTGTGATTTTCCAATCTAACCTACACAGAGCCTACCAGACATTACTTTACATAGACTTTTATTTATTTTTTGGACAACAACCCAAATGGCAGTTACTTGTCTGCATAGCTTTCAGCTTGTTGAAATTATGCCATGTTTATCTTGATCTACAGCATTCTTGCCAAGATAGTTTTAAGGCCAGTCAATCCATTTGCTTCTTGGTAAAACCTGGACAATTACTTAATAATATACAAATCAGAAGACAACATTTCTGATACCTCTAGAAAATAAGATTGCAGATGTTTCATGTCATGGGAACTGATTTTTCCGAGTGCTTGTCAGTGGCCTATCATGTTGCTGTCACAATACAAAGAAATATCATTTTTTGATGCTTTGTTGCAGAGGTTATGGGAGAAGTGAAATAGCTGTCATGTAAAATGTTAGGTTGGTTGAGGCTGGTTTTCATTTTCAATCAATTCAACAACCTCTTATAGGTAGCTGGTGTCCAGGTTTATACATGAATAATTAAAATATAGACTTGAATAATGCTTTTTGTCCTCTTCAGGGCGATATGAACCAGGAAAGGACAAACCAGATCCAAAAACATGGAAGGCAAATTTTCGATGTGCGTTGAATTCTTTGTCTGATATCTGTGAGCTGAGGGAGCACAGCAAGAAAAAAGGAACAAATGCATACAGGGTCTATCGGATGATGCCAAACAAGCAAACACTTAGGCGGAAGAGAGGTGAGAAATTAGATTAAAAAATACTAACAAAATTTTACAATTTCAGTAGTTTTTCACTCTTCATCTCGGCTGTCACTACTTCAGGGCAGAGATCAAACCGGTCTGCAGCAAACAGAGACAATGAAAGATGTGCCACACAGTCCTGGCAGCCTGTTCCAATCAAATCTACTCCAGACTCAGTGCAAAAAGACATTTTTAGCAGCACTTCGTCACATGGTCAGTGGAAAGTATTGAGTTGAATAAATGTGAAGATAGCTGTGTAACAGAGGCATGTTCTCATTGTTTAGCGGTGTCTACAGTGGTCGATGAGCAGGAGCAGAAAGAAGCCGTTTATAAGGTATTTCCAATTTGTATTAATTTTTTATCTTTATTTCAGTTCCTCTAAAATGTCCACATTGCCCTTTTCTTGATCATTTTTAGTTAATGGACCATCTGAATAACGCTGACAGTTGGAGCCACATGTGTGAACCTAGATCATGGAGAACACATTCACTTGAGAATCATTGGCATTGTAAGTTATGTAATGATCAGGCAAAAATATTACAACTTTTCATGAGCCTGACTATTATGAGGCCTCAAATGCATGTCATTTGTTGCATCAGACAATATGGCTGATGACTAACAGTTCTTACACAGGTTTCCCTAATGTAACAAGTGCACTATATTTACATTTTATTATAACTGTAGTTATTTATATTTATTTTGTATTTTTCAGGGTCATCAGAGGATTTCAACCCACAAACAGAAAACTACAATGAACTTTTCCCAAACTATATCAGAGAACTCAATGACTGGTCTTCCTATCACCCAACAGTGACACAATAATGCTTTAACTCTCTTCCCCTGGACTACTGTGATATGCCTCAGTGGTTTTACCTGCTGAGCTGAGCATTGAACGAGGGAAACCAGAGAGGGGTACCTGAGAGGTAAAAGTGCCCTGTCAGTCATCTACTTGCCTGTGTTTGTGCTGAGTGTATAAGAAATGATCCTCTTCCAAACCAAGCCTCTGTCATTCAAGTTTTTGGTTCACTGAACTCCCATGAGGGATAAAATTATGGATCTGTCAGTACATGATTTACTGTTGTCTAAAGTTTAATGTGCAAGAATGTTTAATGTCTGAGCTACTCAAATTTTGATTTTAAATATTTTAGTTGGTTGCAAGGGTTTCTGTATTAGTGACTACCTCTTGAAAACACTGTGGCTTCAATCCCATCCTTGCCCTTTGTCCATGAATAGCAACTATTTCTGGTCACTGTTCCTACCACACAGATTTTGTAAAAATAAAATACAAACTGGTAGTTAGAAAATGCTAATTTTGTTTGTGATTTTTGCTAATACATGTAGTACTTCACATTTTTCGCTTTAAAATCTATTTTTATAATAGTGCCAAATAGCATTAAAATTTCTATATAAGGCAAATATAAACAGAGCTCAGTTCTTTTTGATTTATTTTGAAAATTGCAAACAGATCCTCAGCAGAACAAACAAAAATCTCCAACATTCAAATGGTCCACTTGCACAACCTGCTGGTTTATGTATGTTTTTTTAGAAGGTGGTTTTACAGTTTGAGGTTGGTTTACATTAATAGTACAACAACAACCAATAACAATTACATTCATTCCTGTAAATGTTACAGCACAGTTAATGCAGATACAAATGAATATTTTCATGGCTTGGCTTTAAGCACCATAATAAAAAAGAAAATCTAAGACCTGGATTTCAATGTTGCTGCTGTGAATAAAAATATGAATTCTTACAGATAACATTAGCTTAGCTCATTTTACACTATAGACTATACATAGACAGTATCTTTACAGTTCAAAATGCCTTATAATGGACATTCTAAAGCAGTTTGTACAATTACACAGAGCTTCAGTAGGCAGACTTCTTTGCAGTTTAAAATGCAATTAATAACTTTGGATTGGAATAAAACAGAAAATAAAATAAATGGAGCAAGCAGTAGGAGTTACAACAACTATAATAGACTTTCTGTTATACAAAATACACTGCCTACTCAAGATTGAACAGACCAAAGCCCGCTGGTCTGTTCTTTGCATTTCATCTGATTACAAAACTCATTCTGAAGAAATAAGTACAAGTACAGTTTGGTTCTAAAATAGTGCCTGTTTTAATGATAACCATTTGCCTTTGAAGCCGTCTTTGTACTTTGGCACAAACAGAAAGATGGCAATTTCAAAACGGAAAATCAGACTGTGTGAAGGGAAGTTATGGGAACAAAGTTAAAATCTATATAAAGCACCTTTAACACTGAAACGATTAAACCCCAAAACACTGTTACAAACATGAACCTGGCTGGATGAAATTCAACCGACAGTGTGTCTGCATACTGTGTCTCTATTAAAAATAATTTCATAACAGTGCACATCTCTACCCTCAATTATTTTACCAATGCAAGTCATATTCTGGGGATGGGTTTTAGACAGGACACTTTTTAAAAACAATGTTGGTGGACAAACTCTAGAAAATTACTACAGAAAGCACATAGAAAATTCATAGTTCATTCAAAGTCACTACTGTTTCCCCTAAATGACGATAAATAATACGTTGATTGAAGAAAAATTCCTAAGCAAGTGTGCGTGTACAACGTATGGTCCAGTGTACTCTACTCAATTCAAGTTTGGAAAAAGCAAATATTAACCCTGAAAGCAACTCAGAGATCATGACTATTTCTCAGAGTTAAACCTTGCTGCTTTTATCTTGCCACCTGTTCCTCAATAAGCCTCTGAGAATAACACATGAAACTGAATGTTCCAAATCTCCAGTGTGGCCCAGCCACCATGAGGTCCGTTCATAACATCAGAAAATAAATACAGGCATCAAATGGGCAACAACAGCAATGTTTTTGCTTGCTCATACACACACGCACGCACACAGCAGACATCTGAGTTTACGCTCCATCTATGGCCTCCTATCTATTTTTAAACAGCTATTCTATACAGTGCAACAGTATGGCAGCGTATGGATAGCAGTGCTTTCAAATAATAAGAATGAAAAATAAAAATATATACATTTTGCTCAAAAGCAGTAGAATTTTTTCTTTTGGTCCTGTGTCCTTCACAGACAGAACTGCTTTTATTAACCAACAGTAGTATTCACCAGAGAATGGCTGTAAAGACAGGGGGCAGATAAACATTAGTACAATTACAAGTGAAATCAGCAGTCAAAAATCAAAAAATTTGCTCAATTGAGCTCTTTATCTGCCATTATATAACTGTCCATGAATAGGCATATCAAGCAGAATAAAATATAAAAGGAGTATATCTCTGTATGTTCGTTGGCCATTTCAGATTTCATGGCTTTGAAGATGTAAAACATAAGAATTGGGTAGATTGTGTAACTTCAAGATTGGATCACTTTTTATTCAGAAACAAGACTAGATGTGCAATGTGCATATAGAAAACAGAAGGTCTATTGATTTTTCATTATCACATTATGTGTTCCTTATCAGTTTTGCAAAAGAATGTGGCTGCATTGTTGCGAATGATGTGACAACACACTGCTCAACAGTATGTTATTAAAACACACAAAAAACTTAAAACACACAAAAAACAGTTGAACAAAACTCATTCAAGAAACAAATCTTTGTTACCTTGCTATAACTGAGACCCTTCAGATCCTCCATGTGCATAGCCCCCTTTGGATTTCATTTGGGCCTGAACAATATCCACCTTTAATGACAAAAACATATGCGTGAATAAACCATAAACCATAAACACAACTGCACGAAAACAAACAATAAACATACTGCTGCCAGGCCCATGTCGCCTGAGCCCACATGTGTGGTGTGGACAAAGTTTGTTGGCTCCCCAATCATGGAGCGATCAATTCGCCGCCGTCTTTTCTGGAAAAAAACAAAAAACAAAAAAACACACACACACGCACATACTTTACTGTCAATTGTAAGAATGTTATTGTCAGAATTATTTAATACATTTCAAACACACAAGGCATCTGATAACTTTTGTTTCTAACTTCTGCTTGTTATTAATAACATGTTTCTGAGTCTGTGTATAGTCAAGACAATAATAATTGACCATTATTATTAGTATTATCATTTATTAATCAGTTGATAAAGATAAATCATCTTAGTTATTGCAGCCGACCTCAGATACTAATAGAAACCATTTGATAATATTGACATCATGAATTGGGATAAAGACCTATAAATGTTATATTCAGCCAGAAAATTAAGCTAATGAACTTTAGTGTCTGTAAGAAAAAAATTTAAAGGAAGCTCAAAAACAGTTCTGAAATATTTTCCAAATGTAAGCAAATGAATTGAATTGCCATATACTCACCGGCTGAGGCTGCTCTGCTATGCAGCAGCTGAAACAAACCCAGAACTCAGTCATTCTGAGGTTAAAGAAGAAGCCACAGCAGTTTCCTCTCAGCTCAGACGTCTCCCTCTCTCACTGTCTTCCTGTTCAGTGTTATCAGACCCACAAAAACAAGCCGGAAACTGACAGACTGACACTGCTGCGTTGGTAGTGTAAGCTCTTCACACAGCAACCACTCATTCAGCACAGAGGAAAGGCCTTGCAGATACTGTAAATAACAGAATGGGCACATAATTAATGTTGCTTAAATTCAATTTCAGTATAGAAATTCACTCATAAAATAACAGACTTTTAAACGTTAAGCTCTGGTTAAGGGTATAGCTGTCAGGATACGACTATAAGTGAGACAGGCAAATGCTAATGGCTCAAAACTGGACTAAACATTGTATTAAGTTTTTTGACCTTGGAGACGGTAATAATCATATGAAACTAAATAAAACTAACATGCATTATAGATGTGCAGTGTTGATTTAAAAGGGTGGGGTAATCCTCATTGGATTACTTACTCTTTCGTTAATATCGGATTACGAAATGATAATGAGTATTTACAAACAATTAGCGGGTTATGTAACTAGTGAACACTGCGGTAAAAACATCGGCCAGCAAGAAGAAATCGCACGTATTTGTTACTATAGACGTTCCAGAGTGAGCTGTATTAAATTCTTTGTCAGAAAAGAGGCCAATGCCTTGCAGCAAGTTAGCTTTATAAGCACAACAGTGTTAGCTTAGCTGCTTTGCTAATGGGCAAGGTTCTGTATTTTCAGTGTCACAGAGCTAACCATGCTAAAATCGCTTATTTTCGATAATCTGCCTTTAGTTACCTAAAATAACAACGACACAAATTGGGTTTGCTATTAAATAATGATATTATTATAAAATTTACAGTTTTATTATAATTTATTTTCTTTTTATAATCTTACCTAGTGGCAACCAGCTTCTCGGAGTAAAAGGCGTATGACAAATCTGAAGAATAGAAAAAAAACAAAAAAAAAAAACAGGAAGTGTCCTCGCCGAATACGTTGACTTCCGGTTGAAAGGGTAACCGCTTACTGGAGGTCCCACGTTTTTGCAAGAACTGGTTGTCGAGTTCCAAAACCTTCAAAAAAACTCGCCATGCGTCCTCTCACAGACGAAGAAACCAAAACGATGTTTGAGAAATTATCTAAATAGTAAGTTTTTTGTTAATTTAAGACATACCAGTAAAATAATCTTCATTTGTTTGCGGTTTGTTGCTGACTGTCCTGCTTTACAGCATTGGCGAAAACATAAAACTTCTAGTTGATAGACCTGATGGTACTTACTGCTTCAGGTTACACAATGACCGCGTCTATTACATGAGGTATTTGTCATCTCGAAAAAGAGTGAACTATTCGTAAACGTGTAAAATAATAAACTCTAATGATCTACTTTGTTTTGAGGGAACAGTGAAAAAATTCTGAAGCTGGCAACCAACATAGCAAGGGAAAAGCTTGTATCAGTGGGCACATGTTTCGGCAAATTCACTAAGACCCACAAGTTCCGCCTTCATATCACAGCTTTGGACTTTCTTGCTCCCTATGCAAAAGTAGGTTTTCATTATGTGGTCCAAACCATTATGCCAAGACATGTTGCTCGAACTATTTGTATATCTTGGTATTTCAGTACAAAGTGTGGGTTAAGCCTGGATCCGAGCAGTCTTTTCTATATGGAAACCATGTGCTGAAATCTGGACTTGGAAGAATCACTGAGAACACAGAGCAGTACCAGGGAGTTGTGGTGTACTCCATGGCTGATGTGCCTCTAGTAAGTACTGAAGCTCCATAGTTTGAGCTCTATGGATATGAGTTTAAGTTAGCAGCATGTTTTTTGATTACAGGGCTTTGGAGTAGCAGCAAAATCCACACAAGAGTGCAGAAGAGTGGATCCAATGGCCATTGTTGTATTCCACCAGGCTGACGTTGGAGAGTTCATTAGAAATGAGGATGCCTTGACTTAAGGATTCACCAAAAATTGTTTTTTTTTTTCTCATTTACTTGCCTGACCAGCCAGTCCCTCATACATTGCAGTAAGCACATGGTTTTGGCTGGCCAGACAAGGTTTTACCAACTTTACATCCAGGACAGCTGAGTGGAATTCACATTCCCTTATCATTTTAATTATAATACCAACAATCTTCTTGTACTACATTTAATTGCAGGAAAATTACAAACATTAATAGTCAATACTTGAAAGATGATTTGAGTAAAGTTTTAGAGTTCTTCCAGTAATAAATGTATGCGGTTTCTTATATTGGTATTTTTTATTAGCAAAATTTTATTTACAATTTGAAATCATATTTTGTAAAATATCTACATGTTTTTCTGTTAATGCTGTTTTATTTAAAAAAAAAAATCACCTGGTATTTTTTGAACAGTATAAAAATGTAAAAGGATCTCTACAAAATTTCAAAAAAATCAAGCGTAGACATTTTATTGTACTCGACTAACATTTTTTAAATAGGTTGGGTTCATGCATCATTCTAGAAAAAGAGCATAAAATGAGAATTCTATGGTCCAAATTGCTTTTTAACTAGCATATTGCATATGCTTTGTTCTGGTTCATATGTCTGTATTTACTCGACCTATTCACATGAAACAAACTGGGTAGGGGGTTAGGGTTTGACATCTTCTCGGGCAAATAAACAAAAATGTAACTCTTTCCAGTAGCTTCAGAAAGTTGTGCCGCCATTCATCCCTAAAGATGTGACTGTTCAGAGTTAAAAATACTGACTTTAAACCATATGATGAAAATGGCAAATTTGTGGAATCACTCCCAAATAATGTTCAACATTTGTGGATCATAAGTTTGGATATTTCTTGCAAAAAAAGAGTGAATTATCCCTGCCCCTCCATGTGAAATTATAACTTCATCAAATTCTAGAATGTGAACATGGCCTGTTTTGTTTAAATGTTTTAAAACCGTTATATCATTTTCAGTTTCTTCATTGTTCTCCATCTGTCTTTCAAATTGACATTTGTTCGATCTTTGAAGTTGTAATATGACTTTATCCTGTTCCAGTTTCCCTCTCCAAATTTCTGAACCCCTTCTTTCAAGCGTTGGGTCTCACTGACTGTCCATTTCTGCAACACCAAACAAATTATTCAAAAGTTATATAAAAGTGAAACTTTACAGTTTCAATATTCAAATATGTTTTATTACCCTTTTCTTTTGACTAGAATTTGATGTCAGGCTTTCATCTGGTGAGCCTATGAAACATGGAATATTAATACAAAGTAAAATGTTATTCTTAATAATATAATTATATTTATACCTCCGTCAAAAAGCACATCTTCATCACTCCACACTTCCTTAGATTCCCTGGCACTGTTGAATGCTTGTTTCCTTTTTCAGCACATGTTTGAAAATACATGTCCAAATTAAAACATTGCCTTCATAATTAGTATTTTTGCATAATGCAGTACTGTTTACTTACCATTTGATGTGTGGGGAAGATTTGACATTGTGAGGAGTAGAGCTTGTTTGTGGACCAGCCCTTAAAACTGGACCGGGGGATCTGTCTAAACCTTCCAAGACTATCGCATCTTCATTCTCTGTCACTCTGTATAAGAAATTCCCTTTAAGTTGTACATTTCTTTACCCAGTGAAATACAAAAATTTATGACCCTCCATTGTATTTACCTACTAACATTATGGATAGAGTTGGTTTCATCAACATCAGAAATGTCCTCCTCAGTTGGTGGCTTGCTTGTAGAGGATGCTTTGGCTCTAAAACAAAGATCAGAGAGGCATAATAAAGCTGTAACATGAAAAGCATAAAGTGAACGATTTCTTTACCTGTCACAACTCTTTAGTTTCCGTAAAGGTTTGCTAACTTCAGACTCCATTAGAAGACTTTGTGGGATGTCCATGTTTTTAGAGATTTCTGGTGTCTCTTCATTTGTTTCTTCCGTTGTCAGTCCAGTGTCCAATTCTGTAGATCCAGTTGGGCTATCTGGATCCACCACCAGCTGAGCAATGGTGTAATGCCGCACGTAGACTGGTACTGACTTCATATTTGAGAGAGAACTTGTCTGTGCCTGTGGAACGACACTCATTTGTGCTGGTTCATCAGCTGGGGAAGCCTCTAATGGGCTGCCAGAGTTTCTTAAATACAGCTGATTTTTCATTTCTTCATTAACTGCTTTGTCAGGTGACTTAGATGTTTCTTCCTCTTCCATTGCTTTTTCCAAGCGGAGAAAACTTGTCTCGTCAGCCAGTGCTTTGACCCCTGCTTCAAGTCTGGATTTTGCAATAAATAAACGGTTGCTTCGGGCACGATGGAGAGTTGGGGACGGAGACAAAATGTAAGTTAGAAAAAAAAAATATATATATATATAATTAATAAATAAAATGCGATAACAGCATTAAAATAGTTTCAAGTTAATAATTAGACATACAGGTGAATTATGTGTTATTTGGTGCTGCAGGATACATCCTTAAATCATAATAACGCTGATATTGAAAATGTAGTCATGATGATGTTGAACCTAATATAAGCGTACCAGTTTCGTAGAAACACAGGCTTTGGCTCCTCCGGCTGCTCAGGCTCATGACTGTCGTCAGGCTCAGCATGTCTTGATAGAATAAGACGGTCTGCTGCCTGTATATAAAAATAAACAAAACACCACAGTAGTAATAAAACTGAACTGAGGGACTTCAAAATATCACCACCAATATGTTTTTGCATACCTTGAGAAGAAATGGAGTTGTAATGTGACAAAGTTTCAGACAGAAACAGAGCATCTCCTCTCTAAACAGCTGAAAGTCCAGTTGGTCTATAATATCATGGACTCTGCTCTTCTGGTTAATTAGACCCATAAATATAGCTTTCTACACATGAAAACAATATATATGTAGTATGTAAAAATATATATATCAAAAAAATTAAAAACTATATATATATATATATATATATATTAATATAATATATATATATATATATATATATATATATATAATATAATTTATATTTAGCAACACGCAGCATGTATAATGCATATCTTACCTTGCCCACCATTGACTTGGGGAAGTGCTTATTTAGAGCCTTCTTCGCTTTGTCAAACTCTCCATTGATGATAAATATCTTAACAATCTAGATCGTAACACAACACACAAAAATAACACTGAAAATACTGAAGCAGAACACTATGAAGTTAGAGGGTGTGAGTGCTTCACTAGGTTTGAAAAGAGCAGGTGCTTTATGAAGATAAATAGATTTGATCTAAAAATTACCCAATAAACTTGCCTTTCCATGAAAAAAAGAAGCAGAAAGTATATAACGTCCTTTTAATTTACTCTGTAAGGGGGCCTCAGATTTATTTCATCTCCTGCTACTTGTCTCTATGGAAGGGCCAGTTTTTTGACACACATATTTAGACTAGTATTTACACCACAGTACATACCATCTCCTTAAGTGAGGAACAGACCCTGTCATAATCCTCATGAGGACAGTCCTGTTTCATACTTTGTAATATTTTTAATGCTGATTCTAGAGGACTGAGGGTGGGGTCTTCTTCAGAAGCCAAGTCTGGAGATAAAACAAGGTTTAATTTGTTACATACATGTCAATTAATCAAATAACAATTACATGTTTTGGATATTTTTAAAAATTCCAAGTATGTTTTTTGAAGTAAAACTTATTGACTTTAATAATAAGTTGCAATGCACACACTTGTTGATTGATGTCAGTTTAAAGGATTTTAAAGCTACCATTTTAAGTTTATTTTATTTTTTACCAGTAGATGGCAAGTCTATCAGCCCAAGCTGGCTGGCAGCAGCAGCATAAATACATCTATAGTTTTATAGGAGAATATGACTAGACCAATTTGGCCAATCAATTTACAAATGGTAGCTTTGCGCCATAGTATTAATATGGAAAAGGTATGGAGCCAATCGCAAACAAATGGTCTGACAGCTGTGGATTTTAATGTACATTTCTTTCAAATACATAAATCCTCCCATAGCGTTAGCTTGGCGTCTGAAATTATAGTACCGTGACAGAACACTTTGAAATGGCTATTTGGAGTCTAAAGCGGGAAAAAAGATGACCAACTAAAATAAAGGCCTACTATAACAATCTTGCTCACCTAGACGTTCCCCCTCGTTTATCCAGGTGAGAAACTGCAGAAATCTGATCTTTGTTGGTGTTGTTTCGCTGGACTCCAAAGGACGACACAAAACATCTGCAGTAAAGCATGTAATTTGTTATTGTTTTGGCCCTGAATATTGTACGCATTTACCTATGTTATATATAACTTAAAGATAAACATGGTTGCGTGAGTCAAAAATAAAAGCCTGGCGCGAAGTTGCAGCCATATTTGACTAGCAAAACAGCACGACACAACAGAACTTATTCTTACTCATACTCACAGTCAAGACCCTTTCGAATAGCACAACAAAAGTCATTGTATTGCTTCTTCTCAAGTAAATCGATGGCCAAGTACAAAAGATGATCAACAAACCAGCGATTTACAACAGATTCTGCCTGCTGAATATTTACAGTTTCTTCTGACGCCATGACGGTGAAGTAGAGGCGGAAGCTGCCTCTTGAGTTTGGTTTGGTACCCAGACTACACACTGTTCATGACTACTGCCCTCTTCCGGGTAGTTGGATGTACATTTGACGTGCCCAGAAAAAGGACAGTTTCATGACTGGAGAGTGATCGTAATGAGACAATAAAATTTCACGTATGGTGTATAAAAATATTTCGGATACACACGATCTAACTTTTAGGTCTTTTATACTGTATCACAATGCCACTGCCAGCTTACTGATTGAAATAAAACTGTCTACACTGTTTCTAAAACACTGAAGGAACTTGCCATATTATGGAACCAGAACCCATTGAAATTAAAAGACCACCCACAGTCAGGGATAAAAAATTTAACTTAACTTCTCCATGCAAGATCATTTTCAAATTGTAAGTAATTCTATACATGTTTATTGTTTATTAATTGACAAATGTTGATCAGATATTTTGGTTGTGGAAGCAAGATATGAGTGAACAAACAATTAAATTTTTAGCAACTGCAGTCCATGATAGAATCTCAAATAAAACATTTCAGAAACATGAACCCTAACCTTGTTTTACAATCAATGTTCTGCAGAATATTCAAGCCATCAAAAAGAATGCTCTCCTCAATACCGTAGAACAGAAAAGACAGCAAGCTAGTGTTACAGCAAAAAAATAAAATAAATCATACCAATGCATTTTCCTTTCTGCCAGTATTTAAAAAAATGTAGTTAAAACATTCAAAAGTGCAAATAGGCCATTTAAAACCAACCAGTTTATGCTGTGTAAATAAAATCCAATAACATTTAAAGGCAGATAAAGTTTATTAACATGGCGACTGGCAAGTAAAACAAAGGCCTCTGAGAAAATTTTACTTTGTGTAGTTTTAAACAGAGCGCTATATTTTAGCACTCCTCAGCGAATAACTGCACAATGTAACATACATCGTACATAGAGCCTCTGAGCAAACCTCAGCAAAAGTCCTTTTTTAACTTTTCCTATTTTATGATTTGACAATTAAACACTTAACTCCATTAAATGTATATAATTATATTAGATTAAGAAAAAAAAATACAACTAAACATTCTTTCAATTTTGTCATTCTCAGCAGCAAGTTCATAGACTTGAAAGACTGAAACAGAATGACACAGAAGCATTACATCATGGGAAAGTAAACCTACTATAAAATGTAGTGAAGCCTGGGTGGCTTGATTTGATCATGTTTTTACAGCATGAGCATCCAAATATGGATATACAGTTGGCCATTTGGAAGGAGAGAGACCACGATAAAACATGAAGAGCTGATAAAAATATATTTTTGACTGGCACATTATTTTGTCAAATAACACATATATTAGATGTCCAAATACAGAAAAACAGGCAAATTGCCTTAAATCTGCTAAATCTCAGTATTACTGTCCATTTGAGACCAAGAAGGGCAACATGCATTTTGGAGCCTCTCTTCTCTTCTCTGTTCACAGCACACACACAAACTAAAACTGCTCATCACAGTCCAGTAGATATGTGATTGTGAGCTTTATATTAGCTTTTTATCCATAGATGAAACAATATACTGCTGGTCCCTTGGTAAAAAAAGATGGATGTATTTGTGAACTAAAGACCTTGGACGGCAATAGATAAATTAAGATGCACTTGAGAATGCACTGCATGCTTAGAAAACACAAATGAAGAAGCTCCGATGATCAATAAATTCAACCTTTTGTTTGGGATCTTGGATTCGTATGACCATGACGAGGTTTGTTGGGGCTGTACAAACCCCTGCAGTAGCACACCTTCTGGCACAAGAATCCAGTTTTCGAACATTTAAGAGCACAGGTCTCAGGATCTCTATAGGACACCACTGGTCTCAAGAGAAGGATGACCAAGTGTTCATGTTTTATTTCTCAGACAGAGAATTCTGATCCACTGCGGCGACTATAGGTCAGAAGTATCAAACGTCGTAAACGTAACCCTGTGAAAGGATTACACCACAGAAGAGATGGGGGACCCCCAAAGACTGCCTTCATGCCATCCCACCTTACCCGCCGCTCCCAGGTGGGCTTCTCATTTTTAAGACGTTCAATCTCCTGTAGCGATAAGACAAAAAGAACCTTAATGGAACAACAAAATAAAATATGCTTAAAAACAAGCTATGTTAAAAAGTACTGACCGTCTCATCATTACAAATGGAGTGGATCTGTGTACCAAACAT